ATACAGCTTTACCATCAGCATGGAAGCTTTTTTTGGTTTTAACACTCTCATTGCTCTTTCTGTAGCTCTGCAAAACATAGTCCTGCCTCAGATTTACTGGGAACTGTGTTTTGGTTAGTGCATTGTCAAAATAGAGCTGCAGGACATATTGTTTAAGCACTGACATTGTGATGTGTACATGAACAATAGTCACAATGCAGTGTGAAGTCAGGAAAGCTAATTCAATCACCTCTTGTTGCATTTATTTTGTCCTGTTCGATACAAAAAGAAACCTGGCACAGTTCTCATTTTCTATGACTAATCTAGAAAAGAATACTGTCTGATGAAACATTGTTTATTCCAATTTAATGGTTCTTGGACAAACAGTTTTTTTTCTTCGTTTGAAAGACACAGAGTTTGTTGATGTGCAGACTTCACATTTTGACAGCAAATTAGACAAAGAACAGGAGAGAAAATCTAAAAAGAAAGATTTGGTTGCAAAAAAATAAAGCAGCATCAGTTATCGAGCTGCTCAATTAATTGAATATCACGATCATGATTTTCTCTCTTTACAGGTAAATGAACAAGATCGACTGCAAAATTCATGTTCAAAACAGAAAACAGATAAAATCACCTGCTTTCAGGTTGGATAAATCTGATATTAGAACGCCTTATTTTACTTTTCTCAGAAGAATTGTTGGGCTGTGTGAGCTGCAGTAACTGAGCGGAGACTAGAGGCTTGTCTGTGCACAGCTGCCCAGCTGGCTTCTACTGGAGCTTGCATGTCAGGCGTTTGGGGAACATCGATAAATTGTCATGTCTAACGATAAGCAGATGTTCAGCAAATGAGGTGTTATAGGTGCAGTTTTATTTCTATTTTTGCTCTGAGAGATGCTGTAAAGGTGAAGATTATCTTAAGTCTTGTATTGATGCAAAGATTTGTACATTAGCAGGATTGTAGAACAATGTCAAAGAGCAATAACAATATTTTGTCTCTAAAATCAAATACAAATTGCAATGAATAAACTAATTTTGTTCCCAATATTGACAAAATATTCGTGATCATCCTTTTGGCCATAATGGTGCAGCCCTCGTTAGTTGGATTGATGATAGTTTGGCTACAGAAACAGTGATATCGACCAAAAACAGATAGTCTGCAGTGTCTTGCAGTTGGTGCCACTACATGAGGCATTATGACTAATTTGTTTGACCGTTTAAATCCGCACCACAAAGCACCCAATGATGAGCCAGATCTGAATGCCTTCCAAAGCAAACTGTTTTGGATGCCTTTGCCAGTGTTGCACCACATTAGAAAGATTCCAAACAGTTTGCGCTCAAAAAATATTTTCACCAAAGCAAATTTTATTTTCTTGCTTTTTTTTAAATATATTTGTCTTCTATGTGGATGCACTCCACTACAAAATACTATTCTAAAGTGATTAATTCTTTGCAAACAGCTATTCAAATTAAGTACATGTGCAAGTACATGTATTTTGACATCACAAGACGTATCAAAATATCATCATTTTACTTCTTTTTTTTTTTTACTTGAAATGTTTCCTAATGTGAAAGTCAGTAAGCTTGTAAAGCTGGTGATTTTCTTTACGTTTGCTTTTGTCAGCAAGTACCATAAAAAGATCAAAACTTGTAGCTCACTCCTCCTTGCAACCAAATGTAAACTAATCTATGTTAGAAACTGGTCCCCAAAAAATCCACAACTCGCTTTTAATTGAGTAACGTCAGTTAAAAATGACGGAGCCTTTTTTTAAAAGTGAAAGCATCTTTTTTTTTAAAAAAACTAATTTCTTTGTTTTGTAGAAATGAATGGGCTTGCAGCGGAGTGCCTTAGTTTAGAATGTCAGAAAGACATGAGAAACTGAATAACAAATTGTTGCTTTTGGTCTTTTCCTGGGAATTTGTTTGAAACTGAGAAAAATATCGAATTCGACTTTGCCTTATTTTTCTTTTAAAACACAGAGATCTCAGCAACTGATATTGATCCACGATCCTTTACACATATTTTCATTTGAGCTGCGAGATGGTGGAAATAACGATGTAACAATCCTCGTCGAGGACCAAAGCTGAAAGGCAGCATGATGGATTTTGTGTGTTGTATTCTCCTGTGAGAGCAGCAGTGGGTGAGGTGAAGTGGCAGGCAGGAGATCAGATGGCTCTGTCCTCCACGTAGATCCCTGAGCCCTCGCCATCCCTCTGATGCACCTGCTCCTCTGCTCTCCATTTGCCGCCTCCCCTCCCGTAACCTCCCACTCATCTCCCGAGTGGAAACCTGGATTCACATACAGTCTGACTGTACTGTAAAATTTAGAGTCACTGTTTGACTTTGAAAAATACAACGTGCAACTTTTTTTTGCCTCAGTGGAAGAAGCGCATCCCTGAGTCCCACTCTTGTTTTTCCCCTGAGCTGGTCAAGGTCCAGCCTCAACACCTGTCAGTCACCTCGATGAGCTGCCTCGTCCTCCTGCCCGAGGCTGAGGTGACAGGCATCAGTGCAGCCGACGAATCGGGAGCACACACAATATGCAGTTTCAAAGAAAAAAACAACCGCACAACATCCAGTCAGGTCTCATCTGGTGCAAGTTTATCCCCAAAAACATCTGCTCTGAGAATAAACACAGCGAGTTGCAGACGAGCGTGAGCCTCAGTGCAAAACTATCAGAATTAAAACATGTCACCCAACTATTCCCCAGTTCTCCATAGATTATTCACCATGTTTGACTCGCACATCAAGCAATCACGTCCAAGCTCACAAAATCTTTTGAAAAATGTTCTTTTAAAGACAGTTTTTTTTTTTATAACAAAATCTGTCATTTTTCCTGATAAGTGAACAAATGACAACCTGACAAACACCAATAAAACTGATACATCAGAATGCTTTCCACAGAATTTTGAATCCACAACTGGTTAAAAACACTGAATCTCTGTTTTTGATGTTTTTTGGATTGCTAGTGACAGTGTTGGTCAGCCAATCTGCCCTAAAACATACCCTGCTTCATTGCTTATTTTACTCAAAATAGGATCAGAATGTACAATATGAGCATGATGCTGTATTGAAGGACACTTGAAACTAGCTATTGAAAGTAGGGGTGTATGATTTTAGAATCGAGATCAGGGCCCATCAAGGCAATCTTTAACTGGTCAGTATCAGGACAACTCTAAGCCTTATCCTTTATTCACATCCACGTGTTTTAAATTTAAAAATATTCTCACTAAATGCAGTATTACCAATCAATAATTAAATAATTTGTATTACAAACTCAGTACACTGGACATTTGTCCTGTGCTGATATTGATATATGCTCACATGATGTGGTGCAAAGGTGCTGCCACATACGCCACTGAGATTTTCGAATGCTGATGAGGTTGATCCCGGCTCAAATTTATGTGCAATATGGCTGAAGTCATTAAACATCACAGAAAACGTTGTCATGGTGCCTGTTTACCCTTGGTTGTGGTGGCCTCCTCTGGTTGCCCAGTAGAAGTAGAACAGTAGAAGACTTGACCAGGTGGCACAACCAGGTACTACAGCTAATCTACAATACCTGAAGTGTGCATTATAAGTGTGTATTATTTCGAAAAATGGTATGGGATTGGGGGCTGCAAAGTGGCTCGGTGGTTAGCATCGTTGCTTCGCAGCAAGAAGGTCACCGGTTCACGTCTTGGTGAGGACACCCAGAATCTCTCTGCGTGGAGTTTGCATGTTCTCTCCGTGCAGCGTGGGTTCTCTCCGGGTTCTCCGGTTTCCTCCCACAAGGTCCAAAAACATGCTGAGGTTAATTGGTGATTCTAAATTGTCCGTAGGTGTGAATGTGAGCATGCCTGGTTGTCTGTCTCTAAGTGTAGCCCTGTGATAGACTGGCGACCTGTCCAGGGTGTCCCCTGCCTTCACCCTGAGTCAGCTGGGATAGGCTCCAGCCCCCCTGTGACCCTAGTGAGGATTAAGCAGTGTATAGATGATGGATGGATGGGGTATCGGATTGGGTCTTGGGAATTGGCAGATACTAAATATTAATCGACGGCTCAGATCTGCTGGCTGTAAGAAAACATGTAGGTTTAAGTCGCATCCACATTGGCTTATATGTATACAGTCTATCATGAGGATGTTAACATGCTAACGTTCACATTAGCTCAAAGCGTTGCTGCACAATTATTTTTTATTTTTTTAATGAGAATGCAAGGAGTGTGATTGGTTCGGGTTAGGGTAAGAATGTCAGCATGAGCCAATGAGAGACAGAGTAGGGCAGGTCATGTCTTTGCACCCTGCAACATGAAAATTAGCTGTGAAGCCTCACAGAACTGGTAGCATAGCTGACGTCTTTCAGTCTGTACAATACAAGACAGCATATTCAACTCTATTCTGTCATTTAATACTTATGCACTCCATCTGGAAAATTGGTTAGGTTATGCTTAACCTATGGTTTTAACACTTTTCTGCTGACACGCAGATTCATAGTATTCTGATAACATTACAGTTTCCGTGCCAAGTTGGAAATCAACTCCTCTGATTCTCTCTTTGTCTTTTGTCTTCAACAAAGATACTTTGTTGAAGGGAAGCGAGCAGATGATTCACTCCATTACATGATTCATCTGGTTTACATTGTGTTGTGCTTTTTTGAAAAATGATTATTTTCTTGGGGAAGTTTATGCCTTCTTTAGATAGCAAAAGCGCAGAGATCAGATGGTGATGAGGGGAGATGCAACATTACCCCCAGGCTGAATCTGAACTTTAAGGTCACATGATGATGAACAACATATAAGAAAACTGGAAACAGCCCCAGACACCATCTTAATGAAGGCGAGATTGTTGGAAATGTTATAAATAAAGCATGCGGTGATGGAGAAATCTGAAAAACATCCTAAAAGCAACAGCATTTAGATTGAGAGATAAAGGTTCAGATGGATTGAGGTGAAGGAGGCATGGCTGTGATCCAATGTTCAAATGCTTGTTTGTTTGGAAAGATAAACACCTATGAACATCTTTTTGCCTCGTCTCAACATTTCAGGTATCCAAAGCAGCCGCAGACCTGATGGCGTACTGCGACGCCCACATACGCGAGGACCCCCTCATTGTGCCCGTCCCTGCCTCCGAGAACCCTTTCCGGGAGAAGAAGTTCTTCTGCACCATCCTCTGATGACCCGCGGGTAGAGCTGTACAGGTGCAGGCATGGTGTTGCCTGGCTTCTCTGTCTTCACCACACCTGAAGCTACTGGCCATAGGCATTGAGTTGAGTTTTGCCAGGTGGACACTCTGTTGTTGGTCAGCTCTGTCCTGGTGGCTGAAGGTTTTGGGGGGAGTCGGCTACCAAACTGGCAACCCAGTGAGCGTATCATGTCTTGTTAAATAGGTTTGTTATTGCTTTGTTATTAGAGAACAGCCTTGCTCAGTGCTTAATGAGATGAGAGATGTTTTTTTTTTTTTTCTTTCTTTCTTTTTCGTTTCTTTTCTTGTGCTAGATCTTAACTCGCCTCAGGAAACAGAAATTTGCCCAGCATCTGCAACTTTTTTAAACATTTATTCCCATTCCCTTTATCCGAATAATAATAATTAAAAAAAGCATAAATCTTTGTATTACCTTGAATATAATTTGAGTTAGTTTTCTTTTTTTTTATTATTATTTTATTGCTCTCAGTGTGCACGTTTGACTATTTGTAGCAACACTTACTGAAAGCACCACTGGAATTCGACACTTCCCTCACTAGTGGTTTCAGTTTCAATTTGCCTCCAGAGTCGCCGACAATTAACCCGCCTCGTTTTAGCGCTGCAGTAAAGTCAGCTTCAGATTGAGTGCACAGAAACACCAACCTGATCCCACGTAGTAAATAATTTCAGTTGCTCTCGTATAAGGAGGAGGAGGAGGAGGAGGAGGAGGAGGTGGCGGCACATCACTTCTGGTGCAAATAAATAAATAGACTGTGTTTATTGAAAGATGCGGAGCTAATGTTTCAACAGCAAGATGAGTTCTTCAGGGTTATCACTGTGCAAACAACCCTTAAGTCAAAAATTATTTATGAATCTGCCACCTCCTTCCCAGGCTTGCTCTAATGCGTTCTACCTTTGCTGCTCTGTTTGATTTACTCTTCACATACTTCATCCACTTCAAATCAGAGACACTATTAGTTAATCCTGCAGCCCCTCGACTGGAATATTTCTACAAGTTTGCAGGACATCTTTTCATCTTATTTCCTTAATGGAGTCTTTTCTTTTCTGGGCATGTTTCCTGAGCCTGATTCTTTTTTGCCTGTCCTAGAGTGAATGGCAAGGCCTTTGACATTAAAGCCAAACCAGAGGCCTGCATGTTTCTCTGCTCCTTTTTGACAGCCTCCTCTGTTTCCGAGGGACTGTCAGTCTTTTAGAGTGTACAGTATGTTACAGTGCCAATTTCTGTGGGAGCAGTGTGATCTCCACACTGTGATCGCGCAGCCTTTTTTCCGTTTTGTTTGTTTTGGAAGAAAAAGCACACTGTCGAACTATTTCCTTTACATGGTAGTTGAATAGCATTTGCTAATTTTTACGATGAATTGTTATGATCGTTATTAATATTGTTATTATCAGTAGTATTATTGAATATTTGTTGCACAGCACTGACAGCTACATGACGTGTAGTGCTACTAAGCTTGTATGATACTTAGAAAAAAAACATTTATAAATCATGCAATTATTGATACTATCTAAGTATTTTTTAAAAACAACGGAAAGGGTCGTTTACATAATATGATCCCTTTGGTGGTTCAGGCTTTTTGCATCATTGTTTCTGTAAAATTGAGAGAAATTTCCTCTTGGTACTTGAATAGCCATCACATTAGGAATCAAACTCTGATCACAAACACAAACCGGTGTGTACTCAAATTGCTTTCAGGATAATTACTGTGTTTCTTTCCTATCTGAAAACCTGAGACCGACCTCAGGGCACTCTCACTGACCTCATCTTAAGGATGGTGCCAAATCCGAAACAAGAAATACAACAGCTAGAGATGAATATTGCATGGATTTATTTCTATTTATACAAGAGAGAACTATTATGATATGAAATATTGCCTCTTCATTGACTTTCTGGGTGCTACTCTGCACATAATAATTTCATTGGAGTACGGATATGTCAACAATGTGCAGCTGTATTCATGAATGGTATTATCGTTTTGGGAAAAAAAAAATAGCATTTAAATAGCAGGCTTTGTAAATCCTTTGATGGATCAAATGAATTAAAGGAAAACGGCAACCCAAATGTGCTGTGTCTTCAATATGTCTGCGTCACGTCTGTCACTGATGTTTGGGGCTGTGGTCTGTATGATCATGCTGATAACATTAAAGGCCACTGCAAATCGTTCAGGGTCTCACAGAGGAACATGATATTCTGGTGTGTAGTGGAGACCTCCTGTGGCTGAGCTGAACCACAGGCCATCTGGATGCACTGTGCATGTGTTGTGGCATTTTTACAATGCAGCTTAGCCTCAGCCAGTTTTGCCTCCTACAGCGTAGATAGTAGAAAAATAATAATAATACGTGCAGCGACACGGCAGTTTGCATGAAAAATGGCCTCAATAATAATTCAAGGTTTCTGCCACTGACATCAGCATTTATTTTGTCTGTTGTTGCACTTTCATGTGTCCATCCATGCATCCTATTCCACACTGAACACCACTCTCCACCACATCTGATGGAAAACGCTGACTTTTTTTCAATCACTTTTTCACTGCACTTTAATATCAAATGATCATATCGAAATCACATTTGAAATCAGCTTGCTTTCATAGGACACGGTAGCTGTGATGCGCAAAAAGACAGGTTTGATGAATTACACTGATACGGGGAATACAGGTATCTCTTAGCGATTTCTCTAAACCAATCCCAGAGGAGCAGGATGTAATTAAAAATAGAAGATGATTTTTTTTTTTTTTTTTTTAAATCCTTGGGACCAGCTGTGCTGTGGATTATTATCTACATTTATTTCAAATTAAAGGCCAATCAGCTGCTTGCAATGAGCGATGGGGTCCTGCATGAATATACTATTGTCTCCTGAAGTTGGAACACTTTTATTTTTTCACAGATTTCTGTTTTTCTTTGTGAAGTTCTCATTGGTTTAAAGTGTGCAGGACCCAGGAAAACATAAAGTTGCGTCAGGATTTGTTAGGTCACTGTAAATAAAATCTGATCGATCCACACCCACACAGTCAATGTTATGAAGAAGATTACCTTAGTTTTTTATTGTTGTCTCTTAATAATAACACTAAAGAATGTCGATTTCCCGTAGTTTATATTTAATTGTTTTTAATTTAGCCTGAGCTAATTGGTGTTAAAGAAAAATACTTTTTAAATGAAAAATATTATTTATACAGTTCAAATTACAAATTTGTCTCAGAGTCAGCAGCACTCAATTCAGATAAGAAAAAATTAAATAATTTTTTTAAAAAAACCCTTGAGTAAGAAATTGAAGACATAAGTCACAGTGTTATGTTGCAGACACATGGTTCTCAGCTGGGACCCAACTGAGAAAAAAAATAATAAAAAATCTATCCAGATCTGGAGAAAAGTGCACTGAGTCCTGAGTGTTTTGAAAGCTGCAAAAGAAAGAGACAAGAACACACACGAGTTGGAATAGTATAAATAAGTTTCAACGTATAAATAAAAAGTGAAATGAGAGACATAAACAACAAACTCGGATAGACGAGGCCTGCGTAACCACCGCAGAGCAGGATGTTCGGATGTGTTTCCAGAAACCCTGAACATGCTATGAATAGCCTTTTCCCTTCAAATGAATAATGTGTTGCAGGGGGAGAACTAAATCATTGTAATGAGTATATCTATGAATATGAGTCCAAAAAGGATTATATAATGCACAGGAAAGTAATTATCCCTAGGGCAGTAGGTTATAATACTGAAAATCTGTGCTGGAGCAATTTTCCAAATTGAGCAGTGAGTCCCAAAGTGTACACAAAATACATGACAATAGTAATCATTTCTGATAAGATTATTTATCTACAGGCAGAGCGTGGTGTTTTGCAGCAGTGATTTCCACTCATGACACTGGCATACAGTACATGGCAGTATTTCCCATTACATTATTATTTTTCACAAACAGGGGTGGTAAGGTCTCTAAAATGACATTTATGCAACACTGGATTTCCATTAAAATCAATTCAAATGAAATGTTTACTCATATGGCAGCCGGCGCTCGTGGTGGCGTGGCCCTCTCCTTCTCTCCAGGAGAAACACTGGTGCTCTCAGAGTCAGAAGAAATCCTCCTCAAGCATCTATCTCCATGCACAATAGATTTCATTTAAATGATTTATGTGCAGCACCGTGTAACGGGTTTAATAAAGTTATGTTCTAATCTTAAAGGTAAAACATGCCACCTGGGTTTTAGGAAGATAAAGTGATTCATGTGATAATTTTTCTCTCCTTTCTTAGAATATTTTCTTCACTTCACAAGAGATTCACTGTGGTCTAAACAAAACATAAGAACAAAACTGGGATTATGTGATGCATGCAAAGGTCCACTTCCGTGTTGTAGTGTTTTAATTTTCTTCTCAGGACATGTGATAAAGTATTTATTGTGCTTATGTCATTCTTTTACCTTAATGTGGGTTAAGTGAAGCTGCATTTGCTGCTTTATTTTTAATGGAGACGTGATAAATGCAAAATTGTGTTTCTTAAGCCTGCTATTGTGCACACATTCACCTTCATTGGAGGCTGGACACAATTAAAATAGTAAGAAGTAAAATTAGAATAGATAGATGTACTTTTATGAGGGGGAGATTTTAAATGCGTGTTATTAATTTTTGTATTTGCAATAATCTGGTGTTTTTTTTTTGTTTTTTTTTTAATTGTTTCCCACCCCTGCCCCAAAATGTCCAACCTAACTGTGTATGTTGCATATTAGAGTACAGTATGCAAAATGTACAGAACCACAAACACACCTGTTTTTTGTTTTGATTTAAAAAAAAAAAAAAAAAAGCCGAAAGATTTGGCTCTAAACACTGATCTTCCCAAAGATACAGTGAAAAATATACTTATGTTCACACAGATGTCAAATTTCTCACCTTTCTAGATTTCAGCTAGTTTGTAAAAGTTGTAAAAATGCAAATGTTAAATATCTATAGTATTTGGAGTAGTTTTGTTATAATTTACAGCTTTATAACTTTGTAAAACTGTGTAAAAGACATTTACTTTATTTATGGTTACTAAGTCATAGGATTATGAATTCAGATAACAACAAAAAATAATAATATTAATAATTTTATATTGAAAATAATAGTTTAATACATGTAGATATATTTGTATTCCTATCACTACTGATGACATATTAGAGTGTATAGCAATCACCTAACCCTAAGTAAAAGGACTACAACTACTGATTTAACCTCTTAAGACCCAAGCTCTTGTTTATTTATTTATACGAGACAGTGCGTATTAATGTAAGTACAATCTCAGGTTGTAGTAAATACGCCGGGGGTTTAGCACAAGGCTAATTTTCAGCTGGTGATATGCATTTTTTATTTCTTATAAAGTATATCAAAATTTTAAAAATGCAAAATATAAAAAATGGACATATATTTGAAGAAAATATAGAAAAATATTTTTTAAATAAAAAATATGTAAAAATTCAAAATATATAAATAACAATAAAATAATAATAATAAAAAACGTAACGTGTTTTACTTTTGATTACTTTTAAGAGGTTAATATAAATTAATTAATTAATTAATTAATAAAATTTTGTTATTTTGTATACTAATAGATTAGAGCATATAGCACGCATCCAAACATAAGTAAAGGGATTACAACTGGTAGTAGGAGTTGTAGTAGCAACATTAACAACAACAACAATA